TATATATATATATATATATATACCCACACCGTAGCAACTAGGGCTATAAATTATTTCGTCGATCGACAATTTATATGTCAAAGAACGCGTCTCTCTCACGTCCCGACGGACGTGGTGAGGAAATATTGCGATCGATAATATCGTCACGGGGCGCGAGACGGTGCGGATGAAAAATTTACGAATTGGCGCAAAATGAATCGACACAGCAGAATTCACAGTGCGACATAACGGCCGTGACGTCGGACTAATAAGAATGCCAGGGGCTGACCGGACGCCCGTTAAAAGTAGTGCAACAAGTGCAAGGCGCGGCAGTGACAGCTGCAACAGCGTCAGCTGGCTGCGGCGCGGCATGTATTATATCAGAAATCCTCGAGCGAGATCGCATTATCTCGACGAGTTTATTTCGACCGTGCGCTCTGTTTCCTTAGCCTCGCGTAATAATATCGCCCCGGTATGTTACCGGTTACCTGTATCATTTATTCGGCGGATTTTCTTATCTCGCTCATGGCGAGTTTGCCCGTTCGTAACGTTCGTGTTAATTCCGTGTTAATACCGTTCGAATTTTCGCAGTTTTGAACCGACAGCTCGATTTATCTCTGATGATTTAACACGAGTTTAGATCACCTCGGTGAGATTGCAATGTAAAAATTGTTTTCTCTTATATTGTAAAAGAATAGAAAAATAATTGAATTGAAGAGTGTCGTGTTAATTTAAATGAAGAATTTTCCATTTACCGATTAATTTTATGAGAAGCCTTTTGTTTCCAATCGCTCATAGACGAAAAAAGATGGTTTTGCTAATTCTTTTAAACATTTTTTAAGAATATTTCTTTTAAAATAAAAAAATGTGTTGGATTAATACATTAATTGTCGTTTTATTCAAAGAGTGAGAGAGGAAAAAATTAATTAAGTTTTTAGTACTATTCTAAAATGATTTCTTTTAATGCAAACCAAAGAAAGAGAAAGAGAGAAAAGAGAGAGAGAGAGAAAAAGTTGATATCTAAAGGAATTTACAGGGAGAAGATGGTTGAAAGCGACAGATTGGTTACAGCTGTTCAATGTACGCATCGAAGCGTACATCGCTTTGTCAAATTTTTACACAGCAACATTTGAAGCGTCGCTTTGTTTTATTCGAAATATCGATTGATGCCGTTTCTATTGGCTTTACATATGGCTGGAAGCTTTTAATATTCCGCTATCATGTTGCGGTTGCGCTGCACGCTGACGGCGCTCCTCCTCTTCTTCGCAGACAATTTATGAAGAGATATCTAAACTAGAATTATACTGATTATATAAGATCTTTCTCATTATATAATAACATTAATCTGAAATATATTTGATTGAACAAGTATTTATTGCGCAGATAATAGCGTGAAAGAAAGATATATATATATATA